ATCTATAAACGTGCAAGCATAATTTGTATACATTAGAATGTAACATGTTGCAAGAAATTCAAAATATGCAAAATTATGTGTATATATATTTATCTATATAGTATATGATATCGATGAATGTGATCTTGCAAGATCTGTATGATTTTTTGGAGAAATGCTGATGGCAGTATCATTTTTCACATTGTCACGATTATTTCTCTGAATATTCTTGAACATCAGAATGTAAATGACTGATTAAGAGGGAAAAAGAAAGATCGTAAAGGAGTTGAGGGAAGAGAAATGGAAAGAAATATAGACAGAGGAAATATGGTGCAAGTATTTTACTACAGTGACCTGGCAGATTCCGATATTGAATATTTTACAATGACAAAAGTTAAAAAAAAAATGTATGAACGACTTTTTCCGAGAATGTCCTACAAATCTTTTTCATTTATGTCGGACCTTTTTATATCTGAGATTTTAAAAGATCATAGAAGACTCAAAAGTAGGTGATGAATACGAGAGAGTCATACCCTTACTATGTCTGTCTGGCAGTGAACGAATAAACATCTCTTTCTTTTTTTAAAGTGATTCTTTATGTTTTGTAATTTTAAGTATTTAATCATGGGATGATAATTTATAATTGCATTTATGTTGTGTACACGTGTGATGGAGAACTCTGTGGTGCAACATTCAGTTCATAATTATATGATTCTCTGTGCAACTATTTTGTATGTTTATAGAAAGTGCCGGTATTACTTCCTGGAAACTTTCTTTGTTCCTTTTTGTTTCTTTTTCAAATGAGTCGAATTTCAGCAGTTGTAAAATCTAATAATGTACTAGATTTTTCTTTTTCGCAAACAGAAAGAGATACACATATGAAACGAATAATACAATTTTGTGGTATGACAAGAAAATATGTATGTAAATATTTATGTGATGTATAAATATACATATATATGTATATATATAAAAATTAATCATTATTATATATATATATGTATATAAATTCATATACAAACATTTCTTAAAGAAAGGATTCGATCTTGCAATAATATTTATAATTGGATCAAATTCAGTCAGCCACTGGAGACTGTCTCCGTTGTTACGAAACGACGCAGAGTTTCTATTTCTATGATAATCGAGCATCTTTGAGTGCGCGAAGATATAAAAGTGGAATTGTGGAAACAGCTCTTTGACGTTCGTTTAGTGACTAAACTGATACTACCCACTATCGCTGTGGGAGAATTCAACTCGTCATAGGTTGCACTGCAGCAAAAAGGAAAAGCGTGAACTTTTACATCAATATTTAAATAAAGATTGAGAGACTGATTGATGTATTTAGCAGATAACTTTTATTTACATACAACTAATACAGATAGACAAGAATATTGTACCATTTCGTGCGTATGTTAATGAAATTCTAATAATAAGGAATGATGACTGCCGCAACAAATATATCTCGTTATAGCAATGATTATTATATTGTATGGTATATAATTTGTACATACACGCATACACACAAAATTTAGGTATATATATATTATATTATATATTATATTATATATATATATATATATACTTATATATGTTATTGTAAACTCTTAACGCACCAATTCCAATGATTGTACAATGATCGTGGAAGTATTACGATTGGTCGATATCCCACGGCTCCATGAAAGTCGTCAGTAACCGGTGGGATGGTCGTTCCATTACTTCAAACCGAACATGCCACTGTCAAGCTATATTCAACTTTGTAATAAATCAATTTAACATTTAAGGGTCTATCTGTCATAGAAATTGAAAAAAAGTACTAATGAGAATATGACGAATGACTATTTCTACTTAATCAATCGTATGGAAACGTAACTGTTTCATTCCGATTCGATTTTATAGATTATACACGCATTAAATATATCGTCGAAAACTGTTTTTATAAGAGAAAAAGGAGATAGATAAATTAACACCAATCGTGCATCAATGGATTTATACTATAATAAAGAAATAAAAGCAAAATAAATATATGTACATCTGTATGTATACATATACACATATGTATGCATACAAACGTATGAAAAAGTCTGTGAGATACCAAATTTTGATAGATAAATAAACGATAACATAAATATATATGTATAGTATATACATAGACACATTTAGGAGATACGCAATATATCTCTTTTTTTACTAAGGTGTATCTCCCAATTTACAATTCGATTTAGACAGATTTACAGAGACGAAGTCTGCATTATATCGTTGCTGTTCTGCTGTGATGATTAGTCGGTACGACTTTAATGTCTGTGAAGGTACAGTTGATGGACGATTGTAACGAGAATTCGCTACTGCGGGGTTCTCAATTTGATTCTTACCCGAAAGCATATGGAAGTCTCTAGAGATTTATTTAAAATATGTAAAATTAGGAAATTATATAAAATATTGATTTGAAGCATTTTGCATTTGAAAATTGGGTTACTTGGTGACCATCGAGACTAAATCGAGTATAAAATAGTTTAACCCTCTATGTTTTTCTATTAGAATGATAAGCGTATAAAAATTAAATGAAACTCGGGTTTGAAAAGGGTCGAAAATTACCTTTTCGTGAATGTCTAAAAAAAGGAGGGAGAGGGAAACGTAAATAAAAGTGCAATTAAAAATATTGTGGTGATCAGTACTATGTATTTCTTTAAAAGATTGATGTAATCATACATTTAGAGGGTTATATGAAAATTCAAATAATTTTAAGCGATTGTATTATAGTACTCGTATTTAAACTTGAACCGATGAAAGTGCAAAATGCTTACTCAAAATATTATGTATATATATTAGATATATGTAATATATATACAATCCCATATTGAGAATTTTTTTGTAGAAATCCCTTGTATCCTAAACTTAATTAATCGTAATAAAAGAAAACGTCAGAAAGAGAATTGAAAATTAATAACCAACGAAGGTAACGGCGTTAATAATAACACGCGGTACCACGCAATTTGAGAAACCCTGCTTTACCGAATTACATTTTAAGGCTACTGTATTTCCCGAAGTTGTTGTGTATATTGGCTACACAAGTCAAATAGCAATATAAGGAGGACATCTTCGTAGTTCGTACGCAGTAGAAATACAAATAAATCGAACTAACAATATTCTCTCCATAATTTGACAGAACTCGGGAGACTTAGCACGACGCGCTCGAGAATAGTAGCGGCTATTTTGTTTCCGTCCTCGTTGATTAGAAACTCATTATTCCCTTGCGACCAAAGACAAGGAAGAACAGCGCCGAGCGAGCGAGCAAGGGAATACAACATGAGCATACCGCATGGACATTTTCACTCGCAAAAGCTTACTTGCTTGCTTGCTTTCGTTCTGTCTCCCTCGCTCATTACTATTTCTCTTTTCCTGAAAGCCTGCTGAATGATGGGTAGCGCCACAACACGGTGGAGATACAAATGAGACACAAATAAGGGGGTCGTCGCCACGCGAAATTATGAAAGGAACACTGTAATTTACCTCTTTTATAGTGTCATACTTTAGTGATCCCATTAGCATCTTATTTCTGTCCCTAATGTACTCTCTACGATACCCACAGTGGGCAGGCTCAGAGAAAAAGGCAGAACGATAAGCGAAAAAGATGAGAGGATTTCGAGCAATAAGTTCTACACGCGATCATCCATACGGATCTGTGGCTTTATTGTCCGGTATCCATGCTTCCCACCCCCCTCTCGTACGCATGCGCTTTGCTTGCCTACAGAGGATGAATAACGTATTTTATCGTTTGAATCTAAAGAGGACGAACCACAACACGATTAAAACGACGAAAATCGCCTTTAAATACACGCAATAACTAAGATTAATGACATTCATGATGTCACAACGCTACAATGGCCAAACTTTTGTTTGATATTTGTTTTCCGTGGCCGGTACTGTAAATATCGTTACATATTGCTGCAATAACGTCTTTCTTTTTTCGTACATATTATTACGCACATTGCTCTGATGATTCGTATTGGTCGGTTCGTTAACCGGCTAATTAGGAATGGTTAAAATTACTTGAGCAACGAGCATGCGGCATACATTATTATATTACTCTAGAAAATATTTCTAAATAGTAAGGATTTGTAATTTGTATCTTTACATGGCTATAGGTATATAAGATTATATATAGGTACGACTGTATATAAAAGTTTTTTTATATCGCATTATACATATGATATACATGTATAAAATGGGCCATAAATTGTAATATAAATAAATTGATGGAGACTCTATGGTTCGGAATAAAACAAAATGTTAAAAATAACATTGCAATCTGAAACTAACGGTAACACTAACAATCAAACGAGTACCAATCCGCCGACTGATGCCAGCCACAAAAGGTTTCATTGTAATCTGTTACATGACTACCTTATAGATTCCCTATTGCCAAATTCCTCAGATGTGTTGATTTTTATCAAATTAGGTAAAACGACGTGACACAGCGCAGATAACAAGTGTCCATAATATACGTATCATGGATGTACAAATATAGACAACTATATACAAATTCAGTGGAAATGTTTATATTCCTGGGAAATAAAGCTTCGTAGGAGAGACTTCTTATTTTGTGTTATTTTGAACCACAGAATCTTTCTCGCTTCGTTTCCACTACGGTTCGTGGTTCACTCAGTATATGTATTGTATTTTAAATGCTTGTGTATATTGCATACCAAACGAACATTTTTAACTACTGCGTCGTGATCAAACTGCGAAAAAGTATTATGTACTTATTCCAATTGTTAAACATTGATTAAAATATTATATACACGAAATTGCTTATGTCATTCGTAGCTATTTGTACCGAAGTGTTTGCACGTCTGTAAACACTATTTTAAATAAAGCTTTTCAAAATTATAAGCCTATTTTAACGCTATCTTCGAATATAATATATTTATAATTTAAATAATTACAAATAAAATGAACAGGAATTAAATATATTAAATTTTTCTAATTTTGGAGAATATTACCTATATTTTTGTCAAGTACATATCGATAAGTGAATGACACGTTGTTATCATGTTTAATATTATTCTTATGCATTGTCGCGTAAATGTCACGTACCGGCGGCGTGAAAATAGTCATCATATTTTTGGTTTTATTCAAGTGAAGACGTACGAATTCATCCGAAGCGCCATTTAAGTATTAAAGTCGATTGTTCTTCGTACAGCTCTTTTTTATTATACAGGTAAGTTTTCATATTATAATTTAATTTCATAAAATCGTAAAATTTCTCATGAAATCTCTATGACTATTTCATAACAGCAGTAAGATATAATTCATGCGATATATTTACTCGTATAATTTAATACCGTTTTCGTTTCAATGAACATCGTTTTCATGATACCGATAGTACGACATATTTTAAACACTAAATATATTCAGACTATATGAAGAAAGTTATGGAATTTATTAAAAAATAAACGCAAAGAATTTTGTCACGTGAACATCGTTATCCGTCAAAATTCAAAGTTTGAGTATTTCGTTCTGGTGGCGCTCAGCGTTCTCAAACTGCTTTTGCGTAAGCAAGTCGATTGGCAGTACTGTTCGCGACATGAAACGAGCGTGAATTTTTTTTCGAAACTTGTGTTGCATAAACAATGTTCTAATGCATATCCAGTGTCACTTGTAGGTAAATTTTAACGATGATTAAATTCGTTCGACCACGATTGGTTACGTTCGATGTCACTGGCACTTTGCTCATGACGAAACTGGAAGAACATTACGTCGAAATTGGAAGTCAGCACGGCCTGTCGGTCGATCCGCGCAAATTGGCGGGAAGCTTCAAAAACAGCTTCCACCGGCTGAGCATAGAGCATCCAGTATACGGTAAACACACTGGCATTGGATGGGAAAATTGGTGGCGGCAAATAGTTCACAATGTTTTCAAGGATCAAGATAATTATATTTCGGATGCTACTTTGGACAAGGTGATAACCACGCACAAATATTATCAAGAATTTAGATTATTCTAAAGAAAACTGAAAAATTGTTTTATATATTAAAGACTCATTTTTTTCGAAACCTTTACTTTTTACAAATTGATATTTTTAAATTTTGCAAATTAAGATTCTTGAACAAATTATTGAAGTAAATACAAATGAGTGATATATTAATTATATATATTAACCGGCCATATTTTTTATTAAGTAAAATTAATTTTATTGCCTTAGTTTCTTGTATTCGAGAATTATATGAAATACAATTCCAGGTATTATGAAATATAAAACGGTAATTACATGATACCATTTAGTTACTTCGATAAAAATTTGTATAATGATGAAGTGGGTCAAAGTGATACTTCCAATTATTGAATATTATTGAATACTATTGTAAAATGATTCGTTTTAATATTCAAATGCTTGATGCAAGCACAAAAATCTAAGTAAAAGAAAATGGGTTTAAAAATCGAAAAACACCGAATTAACCCATTTACTTGAACTGGTATCAACTATCTATGACCCTGTTTATCGTTATGACCCTTAGGTTGCTACCAGTCTGATAAAGTGCTATGGCACAAGCATGTGCTGGCACAAGTATCCAGGCACGATCGAATTACTCGAGTATCTGCAGAAAAAGGGCCTGATTTTAGGAGTGATATCAAATTTCGATGAGAGATTGGAAACGATACTTCTGGACACCAGGATCCGTTTTTATTTTTCGTTCGTTTTAACCTCCTATGGTTTCGGCGTGGAGAAACCAAATACCTCGATCTTCGACGAGGCGCTTAGGTTAACAAAAGAACGGCACAATATCGATGTGATTCCCCAGGAAGCGATACATATTGGCGATTCCATAAGCAACGACTATATCGGTGCGAGAAATGCTAATTGGAAAGGCATTCTTGTTAAGCACGATAATGATGTTGCGAATGAGAAAAGAGTTCCTAAAGAGGATATCTTTAGGAATCTTCAAGAACTACGGGAACATTTTACGATACTTTTTAACCAGGAAAGTAAATCCATCTAAATTAATGGAATTTTT